CGCTCGACCGTCGCCCGTCCCCGCTCCCCGCCACAGCGAGAGTGACCGCGCGCCGGCCCGAAACCGCCGCAGGCCAAGACCACAGAGGCGGGGCTTAGCTGTGACGTCATAACGTATCACAGACTGACTGGTGATAGCCTCTACACACCGGATGAAAATCTTGCTCGAAATTTAACATTACGAGTCAATGACAAGTGCCTGAAATATTGAAATGGCGATAAAATATCTAAATTGTAAAAGTTTCGGCCTGTCTTGAAACGGCCATGTCCTGAGCTTGGTTGAAATTCCTTCACGCATTTAAAAGTAATCGCGAAAAATTAGGGTCTCAAGGGGTCTGGCGTTAACAGTAGTAAGGATCTCCAGACGTAACTAGATGGCGTTGAGCCTTAGTCGAGTCCATGTCAAATTCAAAGAGAGGTCACTAACGAGCTGCAGGCCCGATGGGGAAGTGGGCGGGGGGGGGGATGGAGAGGTCACGGCGCGGGTGACCTGTCAAACAGCCATGGCGCGGTGGGGCACTGCCGCAGGCAAATGGCGCACTCCAGCGTTGTTCCATATTGATATCGCGGTGGTGGGCCGGGCGGCCGGTTAGCTTGGCTGCTTGGAAGGAAAGGATAATGATGCATGGGCTTTCTGTGGCCGGATCATCTACTGTCAACTATGATGCACCCAAAGTAATGCAAATGCGATGTTGGTATTGCAGCTGGCAATGGAATGCTAGCGAATGCTCCAAGCGACCAGCAGCTATAAGGATTAAGATTATTTATGTCTCCTGAAATTTTCATTGAATATAATTCAAGCACTAGAAAGATCGTATCGTTCGCCAGTTTTTTTTTTTTTTTTTGACCGGCTGGCGTTTCTTGCGTAGGGCGCCCTTGGGCAAATAATTATCACGCAGTAGATTTTTTTGTTGCTGGTAAATAAGGTCAAATCAAGTAGCTAAGAGAAGACGAGGAAAAGTGGACGAATGCCACATTTTGTGCGGGAAGTCTCGAATTAAAAAAGCTAAATGTAATTACACGTGTAAGCTAAAAAAAACACAATAAGATCAGTTGATGAAAATATTTGACCCGAAATTAGCTTCTGTTTTGTCGGACCATGATTGTGTGTAAGACTCCGGTCCACCCTGGTTCGGCTCCCCCTTTTTTATCATAAATTTGGCCCGAACATTTTGAATGGAAGGAATCACAAGGACACAGTCCCCGCTAAGCTGAGCCGATTGCGTTGGCCCTGCCCTCTACCCTCCGATCAAGCAATTGCTGGTCTATGGCAGAATTTAGAGTCAAAATTTTAACGTGCGCCCATAGCCGCGCACGGCCGGTTCCCTCACTGACTTCGCCTGACAGCGGCCTGCCACCAACCACAACCATACCCGTCAGGAAGCCGAAAAACGTCAAGCACACGTCGCGTTTCGAACGCGGACTTCTACAACCGGGACGTGCGCTCTCAACACACGGAGTCCAACGCTCTACCAACTGAGTCACCGGGACGGACATTCACCTCTGGGTTTCGCCTCTTGACATTGACTTGACAGACGTCAGACACTTTGGCCGAACTTAAGCGCGAAACACTGAGCAAGCTGCGCGGGGCGATAGGTGCTCGTAGCGTCGAGGTTGGGTAACCTCTGAGCTGAATGCGATGTCGTGAGTTCGAGCCCCACTCCCGGTCTGGTTTTATCTAGACACGAACCAAAAGCTTTCCTTCTACTGCAACACAGACAAGCACGATGACATCTTTCCCCATTATTTTTCCCCAATATCCTTTCAATAAAGTCATAATTGTCGCTTATAAATGTAAAGCAAAGTTTCATTTTTAAGAAAATATGTTTTGGTCATTTTTCTGGGGCCATTTCAACTCTTTTCTTTTCTGATTCTTTTCAGCCCGATAAAACTCACCAAAACTGAACGTACCAAATGAAAAAATATCCATCTCAAATAACAGTTTAGAAAAGCCTAAGCCATCATGCAACTATCGACTGAATAGTTGCATGCTATGAATAGGGGAAGATGGGGGAGCACCGCCCTTTGGGGAACACCGCCCAACCCGATATCAGAAATATGAACAGGCCTTGGGCGACAGCTGACTGTCTTTTGACAGCGTGACGTCAACAGATGTGCAGGTATGGACAGTGCACCGCGTGTTTTAGGTAATTTGTGAGAAATTCCGAATTTTACGTTTCGTGAATACGTTTTTTACATTTTGTAGCATAATTAGCAGAAGAAAAATTATCTTATTTGAAAGACAATAGTCCTGAAGTAATATTTTTTGTCATAATTAGGACTCATCCAAACATTTCGTGCTTCTGCTCGAGCGCTATTTGTAATTTGTATCGTGCTGCCATATTGAAGGATTTAAAAAAAGAAAAATGCAGCTCCTTGGGTAACACCGCCCACTTGGGCAATTTGGTATTTAATAGCACATTGTGATGCCTGACCCAGGAGTGACGCATTTCAAATAAAAAAAGAACGCTGTTGCTATGTTTTCTTTTTAGAGGATAATGAGAAATTTCGAGGAAATAAAATTTTGAGACTTCAAGTCGTATAGTTGTATACCTAAATGAATACTACGTGTATTGCATCAGGGATACAATAAGTTCCAAGTGCATTTTATGATTATACTAAAACACCTCGAAATTTACGATAAGAAGAGCAACTTAGGTCAGGAGTTGTTGAGGACAAACTTAGGTCATGTTCGTGCAAAAATGAGAAAAAAACATGAAATCTTGAAACGCTCACAAAAGCTACAGTCACAAAGTAATTTCAAAGTTCATGATATGGTCATGTAGAGAAAAGACGGCACTACAAAACTGCTATCTCACACAAATAAAAAAATTGTTTGTTTAAATACAAAATTGTAAAAAAAAATGTTTTTTTAACGCTAAGAAATGCCAAAAGTTGTTTTTTGAATTAAAAAAACAAAAACAAAACAGAATACATGTAATATTCCCTGCGCTCTTCTATCTACATACCAAATTTTAGATCGATACCTCCCTTTTTGGCCAAGTTATATAGCGAAAAAAATGTTCAAAATTGATGACGTCAAATTTTTTAACTCATTTTTATCAGTTCTAGACCACCCAGCGCGAAACAAAGACCCCCATTGAACGCTCCGTTACGAGTTGCATCGAATCGATACCAATTTTATGCAAAAATATCAACTTCGAAATTTGACCTAATTTGACTTGACCTTGACCTAAACTTCACCAAAACATAATCTAAACAGGCCAAAAAGGCTGCCTGACCCATATTATCACATTTGGCATATAAAATGGGCCATAAAACATGCATCACATGATATTTTCATATTGTGACCCTCAGTGACCTTACCTCTGTGACCTAACCTGGTATCAGTGACCTCAAATAGCAAAATATGTGTTTGACAAACAATTCCCCATCGATGATTTTTAAATAAAATGCATTTTACTCGATTTTACAACGCATTTTTTGAAATGCCTGTAAATGGCTAAAATTCGACATCTGACCTGACCTGTGACGTCATCGGTTTAACCTAGGTCAATGAAATTTGGTCACAAAGTAGTTCCCTGTTGGGGCTATCCAACACTGTGTGCTGCTTGTCGCTATGTTGCGTGGTTCTCGAGATCTTAGGGGGTGGGTGCAAATTGCCCCCCCCCCCCCCCAACAGGGCGCGTTGCTCGGCAGACCCCAACGGGGCGCGGGTTAACCCGCGCCGGTCCGGGGGGTGTTTGAACACCCCTCTGCGGTTTTTCGCAGATATATCAAAAACGGCGGCGCTTGTGCATCTTTTCCGCACATGTTGTGAAAAGTTCAGACCCAGGTCGCCTTAGGTCAGGTCACCAGGTCACGCCAAGTGACCTCACCTCAGAAAAAAAAAGAATGCTCGTCATAGCTGCGCCGACTGAACGATTGCCTTGAAACTTTCAGCAATTAATTAGAGCAACATTATCTATAAAATGTATATCTCGGAATTTTGCTATCGGTGACCTAAGGTCAGGTCAATTTTGCGGCCTCTCCATTAGGTCAATGGGAGAAAATTGATCAGCGTCTGTTTTGCACGAACGCTATTCTAGACACTCTCAAACATCGAGATGTAGGTAAAACTGACACACTGAACCGGAAAATGGCAACTGTGACCCCTCGTTATGTCCCCGAGGTCATATCAGGTCACGAACAGAATGTAACAGTTTTTCGCTAATAACGTCTGATAGAGGCGTGCTAGAGCGCTGAAAACGCCTTAGATGTGTTGGGCTCGACGTTGCGGATCGACTGATATGCAGCATGTCCTTTTCCGGTCAGGTCATGACCTTGACCTGAGGTCAAATTTTCAAGTTGACCTTTCAAGGTCAAATTATACTTCATTCGAGCGTCTCGACGAGATGAACACGATGCTGGCAAAAGTAATGTCATGGCTTTTTGAGTCAAAAGTTATTGCCGAAAAAACACGACGTAAAAACGGCTATTTTTGGAGTTTTTGCCCTCTGGAGGCTAAACCGTTGTCCTGAGGTCAAATCTGAGAGCAATGTTCAGAAAGGTCGGTAAAAGGGCTATCGAATGTGCTTTTCCGCGGCGCTGTATCTCTATCGGTTCCCGAGATAGCCGTCGGCAGTTTCCAAAATGTTGAAATGTTCACAACATTTTACCTCTGGTGACCTCTGGTGACCTGACCTTTGACCTGACCCAAAAATGACTGAAGTGTTATCGTCCTTATTTTGGACGTTCTTTCTATTGCCGCTTACTGCGTGTCGCTACGTGGCCCAGGAGCCGAGTTAGAAGGGGGGGGGGGGTGTTCAGACACCCCCCCCCCCCGGCCCGGCGCGGAATCTCGGAGCACCGGCCCGGCGCGGGTTAATGACACGTTCGGCAGCCTTGGAATGGGCTTATAGCTTCCATCGATAGGTATATGTCTTGCGTGTTCAGGAAGTGTTTTCCCACATCATTAAATGATCATTTACCAGCATCGGGGCACGGCGTAGGCAAAAAATCACATTTGTGGCGTTGGCACGCCTCTCCTTCCCCACCTACCTGAGCCAAACAACCACCAAGAAGGCACAGCGAACGACGAACGCCATTGCGACCTAAGACAGGCGATCACCTTCGCCACCCTTAGGCAGGAAAGAGGCTAGCTTGCTGTGTCTCTTTTGGATCAAACAGGCTGGCCTAAGTTATATCCGCTGTGCACTGCTCTCGGCGTTCACATTCTTCTCGTCGCCGTCCGTTGTCCTTCCTCGCAGTGCCCGTCGATACCGTCGCTGTTCGTCAGAGCTGTGCCCTCAGCCCTGTTGCTGATCGTCCCAGCGCCGTCCTCGGGCTTCCCGTCGCAGCCGGTCCCGCCTCGCCGTCGGCAGCAGCACGCGGACTGGCGTAGCCACTGCCTCGGCGGTGCCTGTCGCCTGGTCAGTAGCCCAAGTCAGCGACGGCGTCGGTGGAGGGAAGGGGGGGGGGGTCGGCCACCCCATTGGCTGACACCGACTCGGCCTAAACGTGCAATGCGGATGTGGGCATGTATGTGTGTGTGCCTTAGGCAGCATTACAGCACCGCCGAACCTGAGTTGGTTCGGCCCTATGGCCTATATGTTCATATTACGCAATGCGTACAGGGCAGGCCATATTAACTCTCGCCCGTATAGGGGGGGGGGGGTCGAACGGACCCCCCCCCCCTCGGTTTTTCGCGAATAACTCGCGTAAAAAGCGGCAGATCGCGACGAAACTTTCAGATTCAGTACCATCGCGTTAACCCGCGCGGGGCTGGGGTCTCCAGCCGAACGCGCGGGGCTGGGGGGGGGGGGGTAAATTTTAGCCCCCTGTTATCTCCCGAACTAATGGTCCTATTTGGAAAATTCAAACGCCAATCGAAAGATCTCATCACGAACAACTAAAAACATGTACTTAATTTAAAGTTTAAGGTCAAGGTCAAGGTCAGGTCAATGATACAAATTGCAAGTTTCTACAGTATCGCACTCAAAACTTTTTTACTACCTCCTGGAGAGTTCATTTTCATCAAACCCGCAAGATAATAGTATATTGAAAGGGTAACTCGCTGCTACCATTATGTGCATAGTAACGGTACGTGGTTAATATGAACTTATTCGCCAGCGAAGAGTATTATTACCATGTAAATATCAATATTACTCTCGCGATCCAGAACATCACGAAAACTCTTTCCTCCTGGGTATCGTGACTCGGGTACAGATAGTCGTTTCATGCGTGGATCTTGTTTACCCTCGTGAAGATGATATTTGAAATGGAAACAATCAGCCAATCAGAAACGAGATCGGCCGTTTGCGGTTTGAAGGCCGCGCGCATCTGTCAGTTTTCGGCCGTTGGTCTCCGAGAGCGGATGTGAGCAGTGTCGGTGCCGCGCGGCGTGGCCGTTGGTGATTGTGCTTGTGTGTTGTTCATCGCCTATAGAGCCTCTGTGGACATTTTATTGTAAGTACCGATGTGCTAGAGCATTGCGTGCCGTTGAGTGGTGCTAATTTGACCTGGTTAACAGGACCCCGTGCACGGCCACGTGGCCTAGTGTTGTGAGTACGTACATTAATTTTGTTGTGATGCTACAAGTTTATGCATTTTTTTGGTGACTTTGAAAAAGCCTTGCACTGTAGTGATCCAGTCTCATTATCTCACGCAGACGGGCGACCACCCAGGAACGCCGTCGCTCACTTCAAATATTGTGCGCTCTGCCTAATCCAATATGAGGGCGCTGAATGTCTTGTATTCATATTCAAATTGCATTCAAGTTGTATCGTGGTGTTTATTTACCGCTTGTGCATTGCTGAACGCTTTGTATAAATTTGTATGAATAAGTGAAGAGTCTCACAATGTTCACTGAGAAAAAAATTGACTCCATATGGGTCAAAACTCTTGAAAATGCTCCCCTGAAAACTCCTTAAAACCATTGATAACTCCCTTTCCAGCAGAGTTATTGAGTGTGTTCTAGGGTAACTTCGAGCCTTCCTCATTTTGCGAAAGAGTTTTCAAGAGTTCTTAATGGATGGCGAAATGACTCCATGTGTGACACCCCATAACTCTGTGACGCAACTCTCCATTACTCCCGAAAAACTTTTCCCGAACGTTCCGACAGGAGTAAAAGGGGAGTTACGAAGGGGTTTTAGCATACGTCGCGAGGCTGCCGCGGTGGCCGCCATCTTTTGCGCGTAGTACACAGCACGTTGTGCGGGGCGGCGGGCGAGGTGTTAGTGAAGAGCGTGTTGACTTAGACGGACCTGACCTATACAGTGACGGATAATTGGACCTTACTTTGGATTTAAAGGTAAGCTTAGCTGTATTTTCCATCATGCTTTTATAGTGCAAAGTGTTATAATGCTGTGATGAGAACATATGGTAACCCCATGTTCTTGATGGGCTGGAATGGTCTCTGTAAGGATAGGTAATTGATTTGTTTTGTTCCTGAGTGAGATAAAGATCGGAAACAGCATGCTCTGAGTTTCTAGGTATTGGCAAATATCATACATTATTTCCCTCGAATAAATTGGAAAGTTAGGATTACACAAGCTTTACACGTCATGGATCCTATTGTTATTGCCCAATTATTTTAATATCCATACCAATGACAAATATCAAATTTGAAGGGCTTTCAAAGCAGAACCAGAAAATTAAACTATCTTGGCATAAAAGCCTTGATTTTCCTAGCCCCTATATATAAAAAAGATCAGTTACCTACCACTGCCACTGCCCATGAATGATGAAAACCACCGACAAACCAGCATGTTTAAATAAATTTTGTCTAAATTGTTGTATGTTTTTAGAAAGTGTCCATAATTGAATTTCGTTCTTTAATGTTAACATGGGTACCTATGCAGCGTATAACGTCCTTAGCTTATTTTTAGCGACCTGCTCAACTTTTTGAGCGTTCAAGTAGGTACGTTTTATAGCATTGCCCTACTGTGTCTGCAGCTAAGATGGGGGCTGTTAACTTGCCCTTTAGACTTTCACTGAAACTTAACTTTATCAAAATTGTAGTGCTAAAAAAATGTATGCTAACTTTGCAATCTCTTGCTTTCATTAGTTTGACATCATGTGCCGAAATGCAGTATCAGTGCCAACACGTCAGGTCGCGTATGTCTCGTCTCGTCCATCTTGTCTCATTTGCCTACCTGTCAGTCTCCTCCCTCATTTCTTCCTTCCATATTTCCTCGCTTCCTTCCTCACTCCCTCTTTACCTCCTCTCTCTCTCTCCCTTTCTTTCTCCCTCTCTTCCTCCCTTCCTTCCTTCTTTCCTTCCTTCCTTCCTTCATCCCTCTCCTCCTTCCCTCCCTTTCTCCTTCATTATTTCCCTCCTTCTCTTTTTTTCTTTCTCCTCCATTTCCTCCCACGCAATGTTAAGTGTAGGGGAAAGTGGGTGTATTGCGCCCTCCTAACCAATTGCGCCCACCAACATTCCCACGAATTCAATGGCATGTTTATAATTTTGTGTTCGAAAACAACATTTTCATCACCTGATAGTTCATTTTATGGCCCAAGCTCTCCGACGAAGCCAATCAGCAGGGCTCAATTACGCCATCAAAGATATTACGGCGTTTTCTTAGCTTTTTTGCAGTATTTTGAACCGTTGGCTATAAAAATATGTGATACGTGTGTGATTTTCAGAGTGATATTTAGAAAGAAAGACCATTTTTTCATTATATTTCACTTAAACAGTAAACTTCCTTCAGCATATTTATGAAAACTTCTACGCTTTTATTGAAAAGTACCTCAATTCTAATTGCGCCCATGGCAATTGCGCCATGGGGGCGCAAATAGAATAATGGTGTAGCTATTGTATCACGACAGTATGAATGCATCATTAACTGATTGCAATAAAGAAGAAGTTTAATGCCAGGCAGGGGAGCAGCCCGCTGTCGCCAGTCCGCAAATTATTTCTCTCGTCAAACTTATAATGCAGCTGCCATTTAGGCTGCGAACTTGTGATATAATTGACAAAATATGGCATTTTCAACATTGACTCGGGCGTGAGGGGTGACAGCTATGATCAAAAAGTAAAAACTGATGTCAACAAGTTGTCGAAACGATGAAAATGAATAATTTTGAGAGAAACGATTGAAAATTTAACCGTATAGGTGCATACTTTCACATATATCTCGTCGGTTACATAAAACGTTTTCGTTGCACTTTTACAAACATACGGACACATGTAAAGTTATTTACCTGGGCAAAAAACATCGCGATTTATATCTACATTTATTATTTACCCAGCCTGATTAACATTATAGATGTTTAAGTAAGCCGCAATGACATTACACTGCCGGGGTGTATGCATTCCGTCTCATTCGCTTAGCCATGTTTAAGTATAGGGCGCAATTGGATTCTAATTGCGCCATCCCCCTGGCGCAATTTACAGCAGTTGTCGGTAAATGCGCCCTTTTGCATGTTTCTGAAAAAGCAGCTGTCGGAAGCAAACGAAACATTCTTAATTGATCGGGAGGCTCTTAAATTGTAGCTAATGAGTTCCTCTTTGAAGTGGTTACCAGTGCATGCTTATATATCCAGCGGTTTTCTTACAATTAGCGTTTTTTCTTAACCCTATTAGTGGCAGGCTCCTGGCTACCCCATATTAGTGGCAGGGGGGGGGGGCTGTTTACGACCCCCCCCTTGATATCTCGAGATCTAACGGGCCGATTTTCAAAATTCAAACGGCATTTGATTTGGCTCAACGAGATCTACATTTCTAAAAAAAAAAAATTAAAAAATGTCAATAGGGGGTAGAGGGGGGTAAAAAAAGGCAAATTGCAGATACATTTTAGACTGTTTATCACGGCCAGGTTTCTGAACCAATCTTAACGCAACTTTTGCCGATCGATAGAGAATGAACCAGGAATTCACATGGATCCTAAAAATATGCATTTTCAAAAATCATAGGCGGATACAGATCATTGAGATTGGGGGTACACAAAAAGTATAGTAAATAAGGTTTTTGTTGGTACTGTTTCTAAAAAGGGTGGCAATGGTCTTGTTATGTTACAATTTTCTTATGAGAGAACGACTAAAATTGTATTGGTCATGCATAGGCGGTGTCAGGGCACCTATGTTGGGAGGTAAAAAATAACCCCCTTTTTGGACGCCTGGATCCGCCTATTATAGCAAAAACGTGTCAAAAGAGGATGCACAATAACTTTGTATATGTTATCACATGAT